CCTCCCTCCTCCCTCCTCCCTCCTCCCTCCTCCCTCCTCCCTCCTCCCTCCTCCCTCCTCCCTCCTCCCTCCTCCCTCCTCCCTCCTCCCTCCTCCCTCCTCCCTCCTCCCTCCTCCCTCCTCCCTCCTCCCTCCTCCCTCCTCCCTCCTCCCTCCTCCCTCCTCCCTCCTCCCTCCTTCTCTCTTCCCCTCCTTCTCTCTTCCCCCTCCTTCCATCCCTTCTTCTCTTCTCCTTGCTGCATTGTCCTGAGCTGCTGTTCAGGCATTTTACCGAGTCGCAGTCCAAGTTCTATGCAGCAGGCATCGTGCTTGCGTTCATGTACCTGCACAACAGAGACATTCTCTACCGCAACCTCAATCCTGAGAATGTGAGTGCGGACGAGCTGCTTTCTATTCCTCCACTCTTACATTGATAACTCTTATTTCTCGCTCACACTGCTGCTTCAGGTCCTTGTCGACGTCAGAGGATACATCAAGCTGACTGACTTTCAGCAGGCTGAGGGAATAGTTGCTAGGTGAACAATCGTTACATGCTCTCAAGCGATAACCCTTGCTTCCTTCTTCCTTTCCCTCCATCTGCTTGCTTGGCTTTCAACTGTCTTACTCTCCGTGTTCCCCTCACACCTGTCCCCTCACTCCTCTCTCTTCACTCCTCTCCCTCCCTCCCTCTCTCCTTCTCTCGTGCTATACTTGTCTGCTCTCTGCTCGTTGCTCTTCTCACAGGCCCAACAACGGCCGCAACGAGTTCACCGGCGAGCGGCTCAAACGTCACGAGTACTGGACCGTCACGAGCCATCCGGGTCTGCTCGACCTTGTGACGTCCTCTCTGACAGCTGGGCAGCTCCTGCCTTGATCAGCAAACTCGCCAAGTCTCCTCCCGAGCGACCTGTCCACCAGCACGACAGGAGACAGACTACCCCACATTACCTGGTTCCTCCTCTTCCTCTGTCCTCATGTTGCTCCTGCTGCTGCTGCTGCTCCTCTCCCTCCTCTCCCTCCTCCTCCTCTCCCTCCTCTCCCTCCTCCTCCTCTGCCTCCTCCTCCTCCTCCTCCTCTCCCTCCTCCTCCTCCTCCCCCTCTCCCTCCTCTGCCTCCTCGACGTTCCCCCTCCTTATTCGCCCTGCCCCTAATCTTGCACTCTTTGACTGTCTGCTCCTTCCTGTTTCTTCCACCTCCCCTCCTCTCGCAGGCTCCAGAAGTCGTCTCGCTCCGCAGGCATGGCAAGGAGGCAGACTGGTGGTCGCTGGGGATTCTGATCCATGAGATGCTCTGCGGGTGAGCTGAGCATCAGCTGGGGGGAGGAGCTGAGAAGAGCTGCAGGTATCCTCCCTTCTTCGACTCCCAACCCCCTGGGTTGTACGACAAGATCACTCGTGAGGAAATCTACTTCCCGGTACTCACAGCTCAAGCTGACTCCATCATCAT